AGCAAACCCCAGAGCAATATCTGTAATAACTTAGTTAAGGCTGTCAGAGCAGGCCAAAGAGGGAGCCCCTGCTGTACTTTGGTCACAGGGCTGGGTGGCCAGGTGTGAGAGGTACACAGATGGAGGAGACCCCAGCTCTGGCCTCAAGGGGCAGTTAGGCTAATACAGAGACAACTGCTGCCACTGGCGATAGTCGTTAATACTTTTGTGTGGGGTGGAGGAGTTAGGAAGGCTTTCTAAGGGAGGTGGCATCTGAACCACCTTGAAGAGGGAGGAAGAGTTCCAGACATGCAGGAGGCAAAGGCGTGAGGGCAGAGGGAGGCGTGTGAGCAAATAATGAAGGGACATGATCTGTCTTAGTGCTGGGAGACAGGAGGAAACAAGGCAGGTGGAATACAATGGCCCGGTGGGAACCAGCAGAGCAGGGCTGGGGATATAGCTCAGGGGCAAGCGTGAGGTCCTGAGTTCGACTCCCAGTACCAAAAAACAAAATAAAATAGACATGCAGAACCAGCAGAGCAAAAATCCCTCAAGTTTGGGCAGGGGCCACATTTTGATGAACATGGATTCTGGCTGAGAAATCTGGGCTTTTTCTAATTCTTTATTTTGGTGCTCAGGACCTTGTGCTTCCCAGGCAGGTGCTGTGCCACTGAGCTACATTCCTGGCTGGGCTTTTAAATTGAGGGACCTTTTCATTTTTTTATTTTTGGTACCGAGGATCAAACTCAGGACCTTGCGCTTGCCAGGCAGGTGCATGTGCCGCTGAGCTGTATCCCGGCCCTGAGGGACCTTTAAGTATTCCTGCACAGAGGAAGGACGGGGCTGAGCCGTCCAGTGGCTGCTCTGCACTTCGGCACTGAGGCTGTGCCCAGGGGAGAGGCTGGGCGGCTGGCCAGCAGCGAGGCTGAGGATCTGGCTGCCCAGGGCAGATGCCACCGAGGAAGATTCAGTGGGGCTGTGGCACAGACCCACGGGGATGCAGAGGAGTCCAGGGTGACTTCCACGTGTATGTTTGGGGTGAATCCTGAAGGAGTGTCAGGAATCAGATAAGGCCTTAGACTTTGGACTGTCGGGCTTTTAGATCCTAGTGGAGATGCTCAGCGTGCCTGTTGGGGTGGCTGAGATGCAGATGAGCGAGCTTGGGGGCCCCCCACGAGGGGACAGGAGCGTGCCTGAGGGAAAGGCAGCAGAGCCCGGATGCCCAGGGAAGCAGCATGTAGAGTCAGGTGCCATCTTCTTTCCCTGCCTGTTTCTCCAGCCTCAACTCAAATCTTCCTGGGCTGCACTCCAGCCATCTGGGCAGCCCTCCTCCTTATCCAGGGTGCTCGCTCTGAGGGTGTGGAGACCGCGGAAGGCGGGACAGGAATGCTGCAGATGAGGTCGCAGAGCCCCTGGGTGCCCGCCGCCGCAGACGAATCTCCCCGAGGGAAAGGGCCAGATGGGATGGTGGTGTGACGGAAGAGGGAGGCCTCCAGGTGCCGCTGGATGAGGGGCCTGGGTACCGGGGGCGGGGGGCCGCAGGGAGGGGCCGGCGGGGAGAGCCCTGGCAGAGCGAGGGCTCAGGGCACGCAGAATGGAGGGGAGGGCCAGGGTACGAGGAGCCAAGAGCTGGTTTTCAAGGAAAAGGAAAAAAAATGTTTTTTCATTCTGAGTTAGGATGGAAGGAACAGATGACTGCTATTTTCAACGACAGCTTGATTCTTCAGTTTCTCCAGAGCTTACAAGACAAGTCTCCCAGGAGGGCCACACCATCTTATCAGTAATTTGCACCTCCATAAAAATAATTTCGCAGACCGTTTCTGACAGTAGGTCTGTGTCGGAGGATGGAAACCGCCCCTGAGCAGGGCCAGGGGAGGAGCTCCAAAATGCAGGGCTTGCGAACCAGCCAACGGGAGCAGCTGAAAAGAGAACCTTCCTCTCTAGAAAAGGCCTTCCTCAGAGGTCGCTGGGACCCCTACCTCGGCCTGAAGGTGGAGAAGTGGCACCCAGGTCTTCTTTCCTGGCAGGTCAAGGGGAGCTGCACCTTGCTGGGGTTCTGCAACCAGAACTGCCTGCAGTGCCTCGAGGGGGGGGGGGCTCTTAAAAGGGCAATGTCAGAGGCGGCGGCCCAACCAGGGCCTGGCGCAGCTGAGGCTGCAAGGATGCCGCCGCCCCCCCACTATCTGGGAGGAGCTGTTGGGGAACCCCATGCCGGCAGGTGACTGGGAAAGGAGCAGGCCCCTCATCCTGGCACAGGCTCGGACTTGCAGCACATTTCTCCGGGGCCCATCCCTACTCTGCCTGTCAGACTCATCCTGGGAGAGCAGCCAGGGCTGCCCCGGGCCCCCCGTGGGAGGTATGGGGGTTGGGGAAGAGGTGCTTTCAGGACCCCGGGTAAACCGGAAGAGCTTCCGGTGGAGAAGACCAGCACAAGTCGGAGAGTCAGCTCCCAGGACAGCGGTGTCAGTGTAGGAGTATTCAGCTGGGTCCCCATACAGTTTGAGAGTCTGTCTCCCGAGGCCTGGCTTCAGGGGAACTGCTGTGGAAGAGGCCGGACAGCAGATACCGGGTCCCCAGCGCCTCCTCTTGCCTGCAGCACCCAGACGCGCATCTTGTGCCCTGAATTCCTGGGTGTGGGAACCAAGGCTTTGTAAGGGACCCAGGGCTCTGACTCACCCTGTCGGGCCTCTGGGGGTTGTTTGCTGAGGTAACCTGGGTAGCTGAGGTTGGAGATGGGGCAGGTCAAAGTGCCAGGGATGAGGGCATCAGCCGAGGGTTGTGAAGGCAAACCTAGGGCGGAGCCGGTTACTTGGGCCGGTTCCCAGCCCTCGGCTTCCAGGTGGCTCAGCCGATCCTAAACAAGGCTTGCATCAGCTCCAGCCGCTGCCTGTGGGAGAGGAGTCTGGCTTTTAGCTCACTCGGAGGAAGGTGAGCCACACCTTTCCCAATAGACAGTTCTTTGAAAGCAGGGACTGTAGCCCATTCTTTCTGGGTTGTAAATCTCCCAGTGGTGCCTGGCGCAGGGTCAGCGCTCAATTACTGACTGCATACCCACCTGCCAATGTGTTGTTTTTTTCCTTTTGGGGCACCAGGGATTGAATCCACAGGTGCTGTACCCAGGCTAAAGCCCCAGCCTTTATTTTTTGAGACAAGGGTTCGCTAAGTTGCCCAGGCTGACCTCCCAACTTCTGATCCTCCTGAGCCAGCCTCCTGAGTAGCTGGGATTACAGGCATGCGCCACCTTGCCCAGTTCAGTGTTCTTATGTATGACCTGCGGGGAGCAACCTCAGCCATGTCACTGTGACCCTAACTACTATTAGTTTTCTCTCCTCTGGCTTCAGGAAGCAGGGCATGCATGTTCTACTAACAGACAAGTTGGTCCACACAGTACTCCTGCTAGCCAGGCAGGGGTTCACACAAAGAGCCTGCACAGGGCAGACAAGCACCGCTGGCACAGCTGGCCCAGGCGGCATGGCTGCTCAGATCAGGAGGATCTGAGCTGTACAAAGGTGCAGTGTCAGGCTCCAAGTGCAGCCAGCTCCAGTAAACTAGCCAGGTGAGGTAGCCCGCTGGTAAATGGGAGGCAAGAGTCAGGCCCAGGTGCCCGGAGGCTCAGAGCCCCCAGCTCTGCCTCCCCAGAATGGTCTGGGCCCTGGAGAAAAGCAAAGCTTTCTGCTGATGGGGAGGTCACAAGCACAAGGGGCCAGTGCTGAGGCAGGGAGGCGCTGTGGAGCCCTCCTAGGCTAGGGCTAATGGGGGCCGGTGTTCTCCATGCAAGTCACTAACGGGCTTCTAAAATGGAGTCGGTGTGGAGCAAAAATAGCCTCCTGCTCTCTGTGTAAGCTGGTTTTCTTTAAATAGTTGAAGCTATAGGAACGTGAATTTCTGTCCTGAATTACAAACAGAAGCAGCTTGCCCTTCTGCCCTCTTACTCTGGCTTTGTTATCCTAGAACTGAGAGCTAAAGGCTGTTTGTGGGTCCCTAGCTGGCACTGCGGGGAAGGCAAGAGAGCCGCTGTGGTCATCCTTTTGGCTGCCCCAGTTTTGATCGAGTGTCTGCGTGCAAGATGAATAGGATCAGCCCCCAGTGGAAAACTGGCCTCTTTCCTTAGTACCAGCTCCAGTAGGTCCAGGGAAGTTGTTATTTAGGGACTAAGGAAGCTGAAAGGAGCTGATGGCGATAAACTAGGTTTACTCCAGCTCCCAACCTTCCAGAGAAATGACAAACACACAGCAGCACTGGGGAGCCAGGACTTCTACCTGGCCACTGGCCCATCTCCCCGTCCTTTTGCCTTCCATAATGGGACAGGTATAATCACGTCCCCACCCTACCTTCTGGGACCAGCACAAAGATAAAAGGGATCACCCGGAGGAAGTACTTTAACCTGCCAGGAGAGAAGCCTTAGACTAACACAAGGTGTCATTACAGTCGAAGGTTGTAGATGGCAGATGAAAGGCAGTAAATAAAGGAGGAGCGCGAGTATCATGCTCTCCAGGGGAAAGTACATGGTTATTAGGGCAATACTGGGAGCTCCTGGGAAGGATTAGACGTTCTTCCCGCACCCTTCTGCCCTGCCAGCCATCTGGAGCTCTTGGAGTAGCAGCACTGGATGGTCAGTAGTCAGCTGCTAAAAAGGCCCTGACCCATGGTCTGCAAGCTTTGGGCTCTTTTGGATTAAGTCAAGCCCCACCCACTTCAGTGCCTCACAGCACCCCTCCCTTTCCTCGGAGCCTTTCCGAGGGAACACAAGAGCCAGGAAGCTTCACACCAGTTCTGCTACGCTGTTCCTGCCACACTTTTTTCGGCAAGACAGAATTTATATGGGATCTGGCCCTGCACGTTTGTGTGTCCAAGGCTCTAGGTTTTCACTTCCTCTTTGAGCCTTTATTACATCTACCCATCGTGTACCTACTCACTTCCCTAGCTGCACCCACTGCCCGAGAGGCTTCGACTCACTTAGCAGAGCCTTGTTTGGAACAGAAAGCAGGGTGTGGCCCGGGGGAAGTGTCAGAGACAGGGTGAAGCCTCAGGGAGAAGACTGAGGAAGAGCCGGAAGCCCTCCCCAGAGATGCTTTATTCCATGGTGTCAGCAGTCATCAGTGGTGGGCCCCAAGCCCATGCGAGGGGACAGGAACACACGCGCTGTGCACGGCAGGCGATTCCTGCTGGCGGTGCAGTCGGATGGGCAGGGGGATGAGCAGGTGCTTGGCCATCCTGCTCCCGGGAAGCCTCTGGGATGATCCCAGTAGACAGAAACAAAGCCTGGCAAACTGGGAGGAAGGAATGTTCAGGCATCGGTGACCTCCATGCTCTGCAGCCGGTTTTCCAGGGTGACATCTCTCATTGCCACTTTCTTTTTGCTGCCCTCGTGTTGCTTCTTCTGCTTCTTTGATGGCTCCTGGTCAATGGGTGCCGGCTTCACAAAAGGGATCAGTTCCTGGAGCCCTGGGAGAGAGGAGCCAAGCAAACGACCTGTCACTTCTCAGACTGTCACAGCCCAGGACCCCTTTGAACGAAAGGGTGCCCATACCAGGACCCAGCTTTGGCCAATCTTTTCTCCTTATTCTGAGAATAAGGAAGAACTTGAGTCTTGGCAGAACTTGAGTCTCACACCTGCACTGCCCACACCAGAGAGCAGGCAGCTACTTGAGCTGGGTTCTGATCTGCCAAGCTGGTAAAAGGGGCCGATAACTCACAGGAGTGAGAAAACAGAGAGGAGAGGCAGAGGAGCCGAGTCAGGAGTTGTACCTGGCGGCATGAACTCCTTCAACTTCTCAGGCACGATGATACCCTTCTCTGTCTGGTAGTTCTCCAAGATGGCGCAGATGGTCCGGGTGGTGGCACACATCGTAGCGTTGAGCATGTGGACAAATTCCACCTGAGAAGACAGGGTCCCAGAGGGAAGTGAAAAACCCTCGGCTAATCTTACTGATGACCAGGAATCATCCACTTGGCCAGAAAGACCCCAGCTACAATCATCCACAGCAAAATGACTCTAGTGCCGGGCCTGGTGGCGCATGCCTGTAATCTCAGCACTCGAGAGGCTGAGGCAGGAGGATCGTTACGAGTTCAAGACTAGCCTGGGCTACAAAGGGAGCTCAAGGCCAGCCTGAACTGCATAGCGAGACCCTGTCTCAAAAAAGACCAAAAAAAAAAGGACTATCTATTTTCAACTTTTTTAAAAATTTTTTTTTTGAGACAGGGTCTTGCTATGCAGTTCAGGCTGGCCTGGAACTGGTAGTGATCCTCCAGCATCAGCCTCCCAAGTGCTGGGATTATATGTGTGCACCACCACACCTGGCCATTTTCAACCCTTTAAATAAACTGGAATTCTGTTTAGTATTCACTGCCTATTAGATTACTCTGGTTAATCTAGACAGATTCCTCACGTCTGTATGAGTGAAATGTGGACGTCCCATGATTCGAGGAGAGCTGGCACGAAGGAAGCAAACACCCGCTCAGCCCCTGCTCTTGACCCATGACAAGCCCGGCTCAGATCGGGGCCTCAAGACGGGGTCTGATAAATAGCTGACCAACTGACCTTCTTGGGCGAAAAGAAGGGAGACACTGCCACAAAGTTGTTCTGTGTAGATAAACAAAGATTATTCCTTCTCAGGAGTTAAGAAAAACACAGCCAAAAAGACAAGAGCTAGAATGACCTTGTAGAATAGGGCTCGCCTCAGGCTTCTAAGGGAACCCAGCCCTGATTCAGAAGTCATGTCCAGATTTCCTTTTTGGTCCGGATTGAGCAGCTCAGATTTTCCTATGATGCTGAGAACCACTGTGCTCCCAGGACAGGACAGGCGTGCCCTGTGCCGAAGGCCCCGCTGCCCACCTCACCCGGGGCCACCTACCTTGTCCATCATCTTCTTGGTCTGCCCGTATCGGATTCGGAGCCGGCGGGCCTGGTAATCCGTACAATTAGAACAGGAGACTAGCTCGCGGAAGGCTCCTGAGCCTGGAAACCAGGCCTCCAGGTCGAGCTTCTTACTGGCAGCATGATTCAAAGAACCTGCAGGGAAAAACACACAGGACTCAGGAAGGAGGGGTGCTACTTCGGCAGGCCGAGCTCCAGGGAGCCGGAGGGATTCTTCTCAGCTTGTCCCCAGGCGTGAACCTCGCTCAGGTCTTTTCACCGCGTGGCAGCCCGGGTGAGAAGGGTGTGGCATGCTAATGAACCTGGTAACGAGCTGGATCTCCAGCTCTCTGTGTGGCAGTGCAGCCGGCGCAGGCAGTGTCTGTGGATGTGGGAAAGGGAGGCTGAGAAGACAGGGGACCCCTACCGGAGACAATATTCACGATGTGGTAGGGGATCCCCAGAGACTGGTAGAACTCTTCTGCGGTGGCAATCATCTCTTCAAACATCTCCCAGGACTTGTTGTCGAGCGGCGACGAGTACACGAACTGTTCGATCTGCGGCAGGGCCGGGGAGACAGGGACGGCAGGGCACGTTAGTAAACTGCAGAACTGAACAGAGACTGCCCGGCAACACAAGACGTCATCCCTAGGCCCCCAGCAGGGGGATTCACGTCCAACTAGGCTGGCCCGCACAGCAAGGACACCAGCTTGGCAGCCACCAGGGACTCCGTCTTTGCCAGCTGCTATGCCAAGTGATTTCCCCATGCCGCCTTCTCCCACACAGTTGGCCTAGTAAGGTGGAGACCATCATCCTCTTTTTACAGAGGCAGAAACTGAGCACAAGAGGTTAAGCAACTTGTCCACGGTTAGAGACAGGCAGTGTGCAGTCAGCATTTGGACTCAGGCAGCTTGGTTCCAGTCTGTACTCACAGCTGCTTTACCCTGAGCTTACCAGGCTCTTCCCCACAGAAAAAGTGCCAGAGATGACAGGCAAAGCTGGAGGGAGCCAGGTTGGGGCTGAGAACACCGACGCTGCGACCAGGCCCTCCTGAGACCGTCTGAGCAGGGAGACACAGGCTCCTACTCCCTACTCTGTGGCCTTCTACTCACCTTCTCAAACTGATGGACTCGAAAGATGCCACGGGTGTCGCGGCCGTGGGAGCCCACCTCCTGGCGAAAGCAGGTGGACAGGCCGGCATACTTGATGGGCAGATCCTCTGGCCGCAGCCACTCGTCCCGGTGTAAGGCAGCAATGGGCTGCTCCGAGGTAGCAATCAGGTATTTCTCATCGTAGGAGTTGTCATCAGACTTTTCACTGCCTTTGCCAATCACCTGTAGGAGGAGAGACCTATGCCAGGTAAGACTGAGGGAGGACACAGCCCGTTTAAGAAACTGCAGGAAAGACATGAATGATAGGGAAAAAATTTTCTTTAGTCTCTGCCTGGGCGTGGGGAGGGAATGTTAAGAAGACAAAGGAGGGAACAGTTATGTCGGATAAGGGGTCCCTGATATCAAAGACATGCAAATTACGGAGATACATTTCGCTTTACTCACCCAATAAAATGGGTGTACTGCCACAGCCTATAATCCCAGAACTCTGGGAGGCTGAAACAGAAGGATCACAAGTTCAAGTCCTGCCTGTGAAACTTAGCAAGACACCGTCTCAAAACAGAAAATAAAAAGGCTAAAGGACTGAGGATGTAGCTCAGCTTAAAGGCTCTGGGTTTACTCCCAGCACTTGGGGATAGATAGACAGATAGATTGATCGATATGTAATATGATATATAGTCTATAGATATATACCTATATCTATAGATTATATATATAATTGCTGACAGATGTGCAAGAAACCTATGTTGTTAAAAAAAAAAAAAACCTATGTTGATTTATAAGGCATTTACTAAGTGGCAAGTCTTTTCAGCATGCAGGGCAAAAGTCTGCTTTCTTGGCACTTAGGCTAGTGGCATTAATTCTTAAAGATTTACTCATGGTGCTGGGCATAGTGGCATATGCCTATAACCCAACACTGGAGAGGATGAGGTAGGAGGATTGTAAGTTCAAGGCCATCCTAAGCAACTTGGTAAGGTCCTAACTCAAAATAAACATTTTTTAAAAGGCTGAGGTACAGCTCAGTGGTAGAGTATCCCTAAATTCTATCTCCACTACCACAAAATATAAACAAATAAACGTAACTTATGTGTTCCACTGAAGAAAATAATGAAAAAAAAAAAAAAAAAAGCTACAGACTAGGGGCTGAGACTGCTCGCTGTACAGTGCTTGCCCAGCACGGGCGAAGCTCCAGGTTCAATGCACAGAATGGGGGCTGGGGCGGGGAGGAGCCACAGGTAGGATAAAGCTGACCGTATCATTTATTTTTAGGAAGCTCCCTAAACATTCAACACAGGGAGTGCTGACAATCCACAGCTATGTTGATTTTACACAGCATTATACAGCCAATTATAAACCAGATGGCCCAAACTGCACTTGCTAATAAGAATAAGACTTTTACTTCCAACAGAGTAAGTTTTAAAGGAGAGGGACACGTGAGAGGTAGATTTGCCATGATGGACAGCTCATAGCAGAAACATTCTAAAAAAATTTTTTTGCAGTACTAGGAAATGAACCCAGGGCCTTTGCACTGACCTATATCTCCTGCCCTTTCTTCCTTTCTTTTGAGTCAGGGTCTCATTAAATTGCTCAGGCTGGGCTTGAACTTGCAATCCTCCTGCGTCAGCTTCCCAGAGTGCTAGGATTATTGGCATGTGACACCAAGCCTAGCTCTAGAAATTCTGAGTGGTAACTGGTGTTGTGGTAAGCTGATCAGAATGATAGTCTGAATAATCTCAACTTGCACACTCTGGCTTTCCCTAAGATGGCCGTGGTTGGTGATGAGCCATGAACTAGAAGTCACATCCACCCCAAGTGACTACTGGAAGCTGTAGAAGCTTCCAGTCCTAAGTCAGTAGTGGGAGGACATGGCAAGGGGGCTGGGAGACTGGTATCACTTTCAGCATTTCCCTTTGTCCAAGTACCCAATAAGCACCTGGGGACAAAGTGTGCTCAGTGATATGTATCATACAGACGGCTAGGGAGGAGATGAAAAAGCCTCTGTATCCATACTGTCTACTATGGCCGCACCAATTAAATGTGGCTGTTTACACCAAAAATTTGCTTCCTCAGTCATACAGGCTGATTTTAGGTACTGGATAGCTACAGCTATAGAACGTTTCCACTGCGGCAGAAAGCTGCTGGAAACACTGCTCTGTGTCACTGAAGTGAAGCTTCATAAGTAAGTTATTCTACCAGGCCGCCCCACACTACTTACCTTATAAAGCTCTTCATCAAACTGGCTGAGCTGAGCCACCTCCTGCATGACCTCCTTCCGCATAAAAAAGGGGGTGTAAATGGGGATGTAGTTCCGACTTGCCAAAGTGCGAAGGGCAAACTGGATGAGGGCCTGTTCCAGGAACACCAGGACTCCCTACACGAACAGAGGTACAGCGCTGTTGGTCCTGTCACCATCCCATTCATGGGCTAAAACTTACTCCTGGGGCAACTGGGCCCTACTGTGAGGGACACACCGCAGGCCAAGGAAAGCTACAACTGCCAGGAGCTTCTTGCTCAACACCGGAAAGCCCAGCGGTGTGTCACCCAGGCACCTTGTCCAGAGAATGATCTCTGTTTGTTTATTTTTTTTCTTTGAAGCAGGGTCTCACTATGTAGCCCAGGCTGGCCTTGAACTCACTATGTAGCCCAGGCTGGCCTTGAAATTGTGGGTGATCCTGTCAGACTCCTGAGGGCTGGGGTTACAGGCAAATCGGAGCATTACCTTTAAGAGACCAAAGTAAGGGAAACAGACCATTCATCCAGAGTGCATAGAAGGTTCGCTAAGCTAATTCTTAAAATACGGGGCTCATTTGTAAAGGTAGAGCATACTTAAGTGCACACTATTTTCAAAATCGTTTCACTGTGTCTTTCTGGAAGCCTTCCTTGAATCCACGTGCCTTCTGCCCCAGTTAGCACGGGCCTGTTGCCTCCATCTACCCGTTCTCTAAGCACTCCGGGCCTCCTCAGACCACAAGTTTATCGCACGGGGTTCCGACTCTTTGTTACTTGTCTGACTGTCCAATGACTCGAGTCTCTCAAAGGCAGAGACTGTTCTGATTCAGTCAGCAAAACATACTCATTATGGAGGATCACTGAGTGGCTTTTGTTCTTTGGAATCTGGATAAGTACTCTCTTGCTTTCGAGAGAATCGCATCTAATTGCTACATATTTACAGACAAGCCGCCGTACATGTGGTGGATTTCTGGGCCTTTTAAATATGATAACGATTTTCTCCAATTGTTTTTTAGTTCCTTCTTTACTCCCACTGGGTCCCAGCTCTTACCTTCAGGAAGTACCCGCGACTCCCAGCCACGATGGCCCCCTTTTCGCCTTCGAAGCCATCTACCATCACCACCAGGTCCACGTGAGAGTACTTCTTCCTGACCGTACAGTCACCCCAGATCCTTTCTACTTTGTTGTCTGCATCCTAAAGAAATAAGACCGAGTTACATGATCTCTCAATTCTAACCTCCATCTCTCCGAACTCCACCCAAGAACAACTCAGCCTCGTGAAGCCACTGCTTAAATCAATCACTTGGTTTCGGTTATTGTATACAGTAACTAGCGAAGGGAATTTGCAACTTAACTGAGAAATAATACGTTACAAAGTTCTAGAAGCCATTCCAGCCATGAAATTGGGAATCAGGATTTTCTGCGAGATCTACATTAGTCTCTTGGGCTTTGTTTTGTTTTGTTACCCTTTTAAATGACTCCTTAAAAATCCTGCACCAGGACAACTGGCCCCAGACAGACAATCAGTATCGCCTGGGGTACAGAGGAGAATGTAGATGATTTTTCCAGGCTCTCACTGGTCTCAGGGCCACATGAAGGCGGGCTCAGGCCCCTGACCTCCTAGTCCGCTACGGCTCCATGGCCTCCCGCACACCCCAGCCTGCAGTGAGTTTAACATTCACCAGGGAATGAATGAAAGAGGCACAGATGGGCCCTGCCACGCTGGGGTGTCAGGGAACAAAGACCGGGCTCCCAGCAGCTTTGTGCGGGGAAGAGCCCGCCCAGCAGGGAACTTTTATCATGCAGATTTCCCTTCAACCTGCGGCTTCCCAACAGGGTGTGGGTGAGGGGTTAGGTTGATTTAGCAGATCCCTCCCACAGGACTCGCTGCTACCAGGGGCAACAGGCAGCGGAGGACAGCAGCCCTATTTAGAAGGATTTCTGTGCCAGGAGTCTCCTCCTACCTGCTGTCTCCGCTACTTCCCAATCAGGCAAGGATCTGACTCCTGAAATGCTCAATTGGTGGCAGAGGGAGAGTACAAAGGGCCGCCTGATACAGAGCGCCAGTGTTGCGCAGCTGCCCGCCTCGCCCTCCTCCAGCCCACCCTGCCCCGCCCCTGCGACAGCCACGGAAGGGGTCCTCCTGCTGGGCACCCACGCCTACCTCGTCATTACTGATGGGCACAGAGGGGTGCAGAAGGTTCCCAATCTCTCGAAGATTCTCAAGCCGCTCTGCCTCCAGTTTTAACCGCTCTGCATCACACTTCAGGATGGCTTCATCGATGAGGAGTCGCACTTTTTTGATCTGTGAGACTTTCAGGTTCTGTAAAGGAACAGGCCAGTCTCAGACCGGGGAAATGCGAGTCAAGGACGGAGCAGGAATAAGGGCGGAGCAGGAATAAATTACTGGTGCCCTAACCCTGCAGTTCTCCAGTGACAGCTATTCTGACAGATTTCTTTTTGGTACCGGGAATCAAACTCATGACCTTGTGCTTGCCAGGCAGGTGCTGTGCCGCTGAGCTCTATCCCCAGCCTGTGACAACTGTTCTGGTAACATATATTTCTATTTTTGCAGTGTTGGGGATAGAACTCTGGGCCTCACACAAGCCAGGAAAGTACTTTAACACTGAGCTACATCCCAACGCCTGGCAGCATTTTAAAAATTGAAAATGAAAGCCTTCGAAGAATTGAGATTTGTTTTACCCAGCTAGAGATATATACAGTCTTGCTCTACAAATCCACTGGCATTTTCCTTTGGTGGTGTTTAAGGCAGAGACACATACATTCTGGCCACTGCTACTGCTCCTATAGACCTCAGGAATTTTAATACTGTAGCTCTCCCAAGACAATGTTCCTTAATTTGTACTCTGGACTTTCCTGATTGAACCAATTTAACTTTCACATTTAAATGTTCTCTGGCAAGATAACTTTATTAGGTGCAAGGGACCTTGTCTTAGGCTTATCTTGGGTACCTTACTGCGGATGTTTCAAGTTGTGCTCTCATTTCTTGGGGGAACCTTACAGGCTGGGCTAGACAGGATCAGGTCCCCAAACCAGACCTTTGAGAACAGCCACTCTGTTTATATTCTTAGCTCTAAGAAAGGTTCAGTGATAAAAACACTCGGAAATTACAGCTCTGAGCATACTGTAGGGAATATGTACTGAATTACGGTCAATTCAGAAATTCTTTTACTTTGTGAAGAGGGTAGGAAATGGAGTTACCTAAACCTAACATGGTTCAGTTCCTTTTTTCTTTTCTTCCTACGCCTGGTCTTCCCAGTCCATGTTTCTTCTGTCTGCTGACCACTAAGTACTCAGTACAGAGTACAAGGGGGCCTAGGGACAGTGCCCGGCGGCAGGAAGTCAAGCCTGCCGCAGGGCCGTGTGGAAGTGTTAGCACCTGCTGCCTAGGAATGAAGGCAAAAGAACAGCGACTCCAACTTAGAAAAGGAGGGCAACTTACTGTTAAAATGTCTGCAGTGAGGTCATCGAAATTTAACACGTTCTCGGGAACAGACTCATCGTCTCCCACTGGCTCTTTTTTCTGCAGAAGGAGAAACGCCAACTTGATTAAATGAAACAAAATCTCTGACAGTGCTTTATTAAGCCCATGCCAAATTAATACATAAACTAATCACGAGATGTCCCACGGTGAAGTGCACCAGAACAGGGGCCAAACTAGTAAAGTGAAGGCCAGAAGGCCACATTTCAAGTCTTTATTCCGCTAGTTCCTAGCTTTGTGATCCTGGACAAGTCAATTAATCTACTGGGGTGAGGGAGTTAACATCAAGACCATGAAAAGAAGCATGGCTTCCCTGGACATGGAGAGGATCATGGAGCTCACGAGATAATATACTTGAGATGCTCGCGTGCCACAGGTGGCAGGAGAATCAAGAGCAGGCCCTGAGGGGTGTCCTTGTGCTCTGGCGGAACAAACCCAGCTCTCCGCTAAGGAGGGAGAGTGAATGGACTGATGACTTAGTCTCTGATTTTAGGGAAGTTCCTTAATGTCCTAAGTCTGTTCTCTTACTCCTGAAACAAGACTGATAAAAAAATAAATGTAATACCTGCACTCCAGGTTTGCAGCAAAGATCAAAACCAAAATGAAGTGGTTATGAAAGTATTTGAATACTTGCTAGTGCGGCACAAATTAAAGCACTGCTACAACTATTCCAAGGGACAGCAAGAGTAAAACGACCTAAAGAGCCAGCAATAAGGCTGGGCTTAAGAATGCTATCGCAAAAAAAAAAAAAAAAAAAAAATGCTATCGCAAACTAAAACACTCATTCCCAATTTACTGCTACAAAACACCAGCCAGCTGGGACTGCCTGTGTACGGGACCCAGAGAACATCTGGGCAGGGGTATACGAGGGAATTAACAAAGTACTGGGTCTCTGACCTGCAAATGATTAAGCAACACGAGGAAGAAAACTGCACATTACGGATAATCACAGCTCAAAGTACATTACACACACTGACCCACCCCTCAGTGAGAAGGGGGAGAGGGCGAGGCAAGGAGGCAAATGGGACTGAAAATGATCAAAGTACATTATGTGCATGTACAAATCTGCTAAAATGAAATCCATTCGTTAAAAAGAAAAGTTAAAAAAGAATGTCAAAGAGCTGGCACAATGATACACACTAATAATCCCAGTAGTTTGGGAGGCTGAGGCAGGAGGGTCAGGAGTTCAATTGCAGATTGGGCAATTTAGCAAGATCTGTCTCTAAGTAAAAAATTAGTGGCTGGGTGTGGTGGCGCATGCCTGTAGCCCCAGCCCTTGGGAGGTTGAGGCAGGAGGACAACCATGAGTTTGAGGCCAGCCTGGGCTACACAGTGAGTTCAAGGCCAGCCTGAACTACACAGCAAGACCCTGCCAATAAATCAATGAATACATAAACAAACAAACAAATAAATAAAATAAAATAAAAAGGGCTGGGGGCTGGGTGTGGTGGTGCACGCCTGTAACCCCAATACTCGGGAGGCAAGAGGACTGCCAAGAGTTGGAGGCCAGCCTGGACTCCACAGTGAGTTCAAGACCAGACTGGACTACATAGCAAGACTCAAAAACATGGGGTTGAGAATATAGTTCAGGGCAAAGGCCCTGGGTTCAATCCTCAAACTGTAAAAACAAAAACCTGCCCAAGAGAAGGACGCAGACTATCATGAAGGGTAAGGTGGTAGAAGCCCAAGGTTATCTTTCTGTCATGTTTTTCTTATTGGTTCTGGTTTCAAATTTTTAAAATTTTTTGCATTAGTTTCCAGATATACTTTGTTTTTTTTGCAGTACCGGGGATTGAACTCACGACCTTGTGCTTGCCAGGCAGGCGCTTATGCCACTGAGCTATATCCCCAGCCCCAGTATAACCTTAAATGACCTAGATTGTAGAATGCTCAATTTTTTTTGCCTTTCTCTTGCTTGCTCGCAGTACTGAGATTAAACCCAGGACCATGGGGGCTGGGGATTTAGCTCAGCGGCAAAGCGCCTGCCTGGCAAGCGCAAGGTCGTGAGTTCGGTTCCCGGTACCGGAGAAAAACCAAAAGAAAATAAAAAATAAAAAAAAATAAACCCAGGACCTTCACACTGGGCTAGGGCTACATGCCCAGTCTTTTTAGAGTTTTCATTGTGAGACAGGGACTCTCTAAGCTGCCCAGGTTGGGCTCGGCTAGAGATCCTCTTGCCTCAGCCTCCCAGAATACTGCAATTACAGGCCTAGGCCACCAAGGCCACCAGCTTTCACGTACTTTTAAAACTAGGAGTTAAGGGCCAAGAGGTATTTTTTGAAGAAAAGTTAAAGCCAAGAACTATTTTGGGTACCAAAGCAAAAGATGAGCAGAAATTTAATATTCTTTAAACATCAGGATTTTTGGATAAATGTTAATAACCATTTGCCATTTCCTATATGTCACAAATGTCGAAAAACCACAACATTCTAGGCATTGTGCCAAGTTTCCTACATTTAAAAGAAATTTACTTTTCACAATCTCATTCTATAGGTAAATGTGCTGCCATTTTGCAGATGAGGAAACTGAGGCTCAGAGGTTAACTTGCTTAAAAGTTATGCAGCTAACAGGAGGCCACGGCAAGACACAGGCTACATCTCTGCTTTTTTCAGAAGAAGCAGGACAACACTGGGATAAAAATTCTGAAGTCTGCCAAAAGAAAACCTTCCTGGCGGCACAGGTCAAGCTCAAGAAAGAAATGAAAAGGATGACTTGGTGGAATTAAAATTCCTATTAACAAGAACAGAAGAGCAGATGAATGCCGGTATGGCAGGGAGCTTACCAAAACAGAAGATGCCTCCTAGTTCCCTGCCTCCCTTTCTTTTTAAAATAATATCCCCCCCTGGTAAGAAACTGAGCATCTCACAGAATTAGATGCTGAGTTAGAATTGCAGTGAACATCAGCCAAGAACAAGATCAAACACCTCTGCTCTGGCTCTCAGGCTGTTACTCAGTTCTCTTACCTTCATTTTCTCTCCAATTGTCTTGCTGCATAAATTCTTCAACTTGTTCAAGTTGTCTGCCCGAAATCTGCCTAAAAATAGAGAAGCGAAGAATGTATCAAAGAAACACACTTAAGATACTCCCTGATCATGGCTCTTTGGTACTTGCTACGATTTGGATAATTGTCCCCAAAGGCCTCATGTGTTAAAAGACTTTTGGTCCTAATCTTGGTACTAGTAGTAGGAGGAATCTTTAAGAGGTGAGGGTTGAGGCAGGAGGATCGCTGTGAGTCCAAAGCCAGCCTGAACTGCATAGTGAGACCTTGTCTCAAAAAGACAAAAAAGGGTGTGTGTGGGGGAACCTAGTAAGAGGTCACAGGTTACTGGGCATGCTCTCAAGGGGTGTGGTGGAAATCCATCCCCTTCCTATCTTTCTGTTTTTGCTTCCTGGCCACCAGCACGTTAGCAGCATTCTTTTTTTTTTTTTTTTTTTTTGGTTTTTCTCCGGTACCGGGAACCGAACTGACGACCTTGCGCTTGCCAGGCAGGCGCTTTGCCGGTGAGCTAAATCCCCAGCCCCTGTTAGTAGCATTCTCTATCACACACTCTCACTCTCATTTACTGACTCACCACAGGCCCAAAAGCAACACAGCCAATCAACCATTGACTGAAATTTGCTAAAATGTGAGCCCAAATGGACCTTTCTTCTTCTTAAGATGATAAGGTATTTTGCTACAGTTATGGAAAGCTGATCAACACAGTATAGATCTCAACTCAAGGTCAAAATGCAGGCAGAGCTGAAGGAGCTGCCTCATGAAGTTGTAAAATCTCGGAGCTTTAGAACTCAAGCACAGACCAGTGGGAACTACAGGTTAGCCCCAGCATTTGGAGAGAAGGAAAAAGCAATTCTGAGGTTGAAATATTAAACCATAACATATGATAGCACTTTTAAGTAACACAACTGAGGAATCTGGAAGACACACATAATTATAACCTGCCCAATTATCTTAAGGTTCATTTAAAGATTCTACACATTTATATTTGCTGTACATGGGAATCTAGAAAGGAGGCATATTTCTATTATCATGAAACTGGTTGCTGCATCTGTTAGAAACAGTGAATGCGATTCCCTTTTCACTAATGTCATGCTCAGTAGACAGCACTTTGTGTGTGTGTGAGACAGGGTCTCACTCTGCGGTCAGGCTGGCCTCGATCTCAGCAATCCTCCTGCCTCAGCCACCATGTACACCGCCACGCCCGGCTCAGTTGACAGCTTCGATAATAACTTATTATTCGTAATGTGGATTCCTCCCACTCTCCCTCGCTTTCCTTTCTTCCTTGTTGCTCTCTCTTTATATTGGGGACTGAACCCAGGGAGTGCTGAGCTACATTCTCTGTCCTTTTTATTTTGTGAGACAGGGTCTCAGGAAGCTGCCTTGGCTCGCCTCAAACTTGCATTCCTCTCCCTTCAGCCAAATGAACAGCCCAGATTAACATAGTGGTATTGTAGCTCACCAGTGTGACTCTAAGAACAAAAAGCTGCATCTCTTCAATCTAAGCATTTGGGACAACATGGTAGAAGAAAAGATCAAGCTTCTGAGAGGAAAACTGACGACAAGAAATGGCATTGCACATATACATAACTACTACTTAAGGTTTGTCGGTGAGCTTCTCTCTTGAATGTAGCTTTAAACTTTAGCCCAAAATGCTGTATTTTCTCATTCATTTATTCACACTGACAAAATGATGGAGCTGGAGAACAGGATTAGGGGTTGTCAGGGACTTGATGGAGGACGGGAAAGTGAATGTACTGCACTACAAAGGGACAGCAAGAAAGGTATTTGTGGTGATGGAACAGTTCTACGGCCTGAATGTGCTGGTAGTTAGAAATCTACCCATGGTAAAATCACACAGAAACATACACAGAGAAACACACACATAAGTGCATGAGGAACTGGTGAAAAGTGAGTTACGGTCTGTGGATTGTAACAATGTCAATTGCTTGGTTTTAATATTGCACTAGCTATATAAAATTTATCACTGGGCAAAACTGAGTGAAATATACATAGGAGCTATCTCCATTTTTACAATTTTTAAAATGTCTATTATTTTGAAATAAATTCTCACACACACACACACACACACACACACACACAAAGGTAATACTGTGATAGCTGTTAAGAATATAAAGAAAAAGCCAGGCATGGTGGTACAAGTCCATAATCCTAGCACTCAGGAGGCTGAGGCAGGAAGATCCCTGTGAGTTTGAGGTCAGCCTGGGCTACAAAGGCCAGCCTGAACTGCACAGAAAACCCTGTCTCAAAAACACACACGCAAAAAAAGAGAAAATAAGACAATTAAAAAACATAACAATGCTGAATGTTTCAATAAACAAAGATAATATATTCTTTCATTATTTTTATTGTCACAGCAATATTTTGCAGTTCTCAGTGCAAAGGCCTTAAATGTACCTCCAGGTATCTAATGTCTTGTAATTGTTACTTAAGCATAGAAATTCCTTAATTCTGTCTGTATCTTTCATTTGTGTCTTGTTTCATATCACACCATCTGTAACCTCCAGCATGATGTTGACTGGAAGTAATGAAAAGGAACATCACGTCTTATTCCTAAACTCAGGGGCATAGTATTCTTACTTCATCATTGAGAAAGATGTTAGCTATGTGGGTTTTTTCTACGAAGTTCCTTCTAAATTTGCAACTGTTTTATCATTAACAATTGGCTCTCCATAATAAACAAACCAACGTCAATTCTTGGCTTACATGATTTGCCAACATGCCATGGTAGACACCATAACATACCAAAATTAATGTGAGATGAATCACATACCTAAATGCAAAAGTGGCAAAACTTCTGGAAAAATAACAGGAACTGGGTGTGGTGGCATAAGCCTGTAATGCTAGCATTGTGGGAGGGGAGGGGAAGGAAGGGGAGGGGAGGGAGAGGGAAGAGGAGGAGGAAGGGGAGAGGAAGGGTAAAGAAAGAGGAAAAGGAAAGGA